GGGTGGGGGAGAAGGTTGGTTAGCCATGCAGGTACTAGAGGGGAATTATAAGGAGGAGCTGATGCAGAGTCCCTAAGATGAAAACATATCTAGAATCTTGAAAATGGCAAGATTAGTGTGGTTGGAGCAAGGGGAGAGGGAGGGGGAGGGAGAGGGAAGAATGTTGCTTTTTTTACCTGATGTTTTACTTTTAATGTAGGGAGTTATTGCAGGGTTTTGAGGAGGGGAGTAACATGATCTAACTCATTTTAGAAGGAAGTGGTGTTGTACGAGACTAGGAGGCAATGGTTGCAGCTGAGAGACCAGTTAGGAGACTGTTACATAATCCAGTAGTAGTGGGTTCTCAATAAATGTTTGTTGTTCAAGTGACCCTGGACTGGATCCTCTTGCTCTAAAGTGTATTTTGGAGACATTTGGCTAAAATTTAATGAGGTGAAGGTCTTTAATGGGTGAAGGTCTTTGTATTAATCTTGCAGCTATTCTGTAAGTATGAAATTGTTTCAAAGTAAAATTAATTTTTAAGTTTGTTGTCAAATGAATTATGTCCACAAGCATACATTTCTTAATTCATTCAACAAATAGCTATAAAGTACCTATGATGTAAATGAGACCAGTATGATCCCTGCCCTCATGGGCCTTACAATCTGATAGAGGAGACAAACAATAAACATATGAGAAAATAATTAGATGCAAAGTATGATTAGTGCTAAAAGGGAAAAGGAAGGGTACTGTGAATTTAAAAAATGGAGTAGAAGAGGCCTACTTTCGGTTGGAAATATAATGGAGGTAAAACGTGCAGACTCTAACACCAGATAGCCAGTGTTCAAGTCTATCGCTCACCATGTGACTTTGGCAAAGTTAATTATCCTTTCTGTGTACCAGTTTACTCAGCTACAATATGGAGGTTGTAATAACAGTGCCTACCTCATATGGAGATGATAAGAATACTTACCTTATAGGCTTGTACTGGGGTTTAACAAAGCTAATATATGGAAAGGGCTTAAAACAATGTTATGTAAAGAGTGAGTGCAATGTGAGCATTAGCTCTGAGTGTTGGGTAGACAAGAGAGGTCTTTCTCAAGAGGTAACATTTAAGACTTTAGGGGAACCCTGGTCGATGTGGTTCAGTTGGTTGAGCATTGTCCCATGCACCAAAAGCTCTCTGGTTTGATTCCTAGTCTGGGTACATGCCCAGATTGCCAGCTTGATCCCAGAAGGCGGCGCGCAAGGCAGCCGGTTGATATTTCTCTCTCTCTAAAATCAATAAAAACATTAAAAAAAAAATACTTTGGGGGGGGGGAAATGTATAGGGAGAATATGCTCAGAGTTTCTCATTGAAAAAAATTCCAAGTGAGGAAAAGAGGCTACGTTGACTTTTTTTTAAATTACAGCCCTCTTTGGAAAGCTGGGAATTCACTTTTCGTCTCTGAACCTCAGTAACTGGGAATGAATCCTACTCAAAATACCTTCTCAGAATTGGGAAGGAGAACAAAGTGCTTGAAAGGAAGGTGTCACCAGCATCATTGCTTCCCTTGCTGATAAGTCAGTGAACAGGTAGGTAATAAAAGCAGATGGCACCCCCTTTCAGTGAAAACAGGTGGCAGTCCTCACATTACCAAACTGGCAGGAAGACGCTCCGTCCTGCAGACCCGCCTCATTGGATGAACCTCACCGCTGACATCCAGAGCAGAGAGAGGGAAGCATCCGAGTGCTGGGCGAGTTCTTAGAAGAGGTAATAGACACGGTGCATGGTTTGTTACAGAGACCTGTGCAGAACTTGCTGACTGGAATATGTTATTACTCTTCCTTGCACAAAGCAGGAGATACGGGCTCCTGGTTCTGCCATTTACACGAGTTAGTCATTTTTAATTTCTCTGGACCTCGATTTACATTATAAAAATACATCTGAAAAGTTCCTTCCAGCACTTCCCATTCAGGACCGGCGCCTAAGAGCTGGTTTATAGCTGGGAGCAGCATGACACGTCCCAGAGGTGGGCACTGAGCACTTTCATCTACACAAGCTCACTGCTCCCCATCGTAACCTTGGGACAGAAACCTTAGCTGCATTTTACAGGGGTGACACTGAGGCCCAGAGAAAGGTAACTTCCCCCAACGATAGATACTCTCAAGGACGCACTTTTTACGAATGTACCTAGCTTTTTTTGTTTTTCTGTTCACCGTCTCTCGCTCCAGTTTGACTGGAAACCCCAGGCGGCCAGGACCCTTGTCTGTCTGGGTCACCACAGCGCCCGCCCGAGTGACACGCGCTAGTTCTGGAACCAGCCGGCCATGTGAGGCGGCAGAGCTCGAACCGGCCTGGAGACGGCGCAGGGAGATGTCTCGCCCAGGAAAGCTTCAGAAACCGTTTCTAGCAGCCGCTCGGCCGCTGGAGCCGCACATATCCTGGCCCCTTCCGGACAGCCCGGCCCGGGGTCACCCAGGAGGACGCCCGGCCCCCGCGTCTCTCTTGTAAATCATTGCCGAGTCACCCTGAGGCCTTGACTCCGCCGGCGGGTAAGACCCCCGAGATCGGCGGGTCTGTTTGGCTCCCCGGAAATGCAGGCCCTGACCTACCCCGGGCCTCAGGGCCCGCGCCGTCCCCTTTAAGGGCGGTCCCTCGGGGCCCGGTCCGCGGGCGCCGAGCCCGACAGCAGTTGGCTGCCTCGCTCTTCCGGGGTCTGCGCCCGAGCGAAGGCCAAGCCCCGCCCCCAAGGGGCGGAGCCTCAGCCGGGGACGGGCCTGAGCCGCCGCAGGTAATGCAGCCTGGGGCTGGGGGGGTCACAGGACCAGACCCGGGGCGGGGGCCGCATCCCTTAGGGGAGTGGGCGTGGGAGCGGGCCCGGGCCGACTTTGGGGGGGCCTCCTCGGGCTCTGGGCTGGGCGCGTTGACGGAAAGGAGCCGGCCTGTTCTCTCCCGACCCTGCCTCCTATCCCCTGTCACCTCCACGCGGGGACGAGACTGGGGGATATCCCCGCCCACGCGAAGTTTACACGCTGAGCTTAGGCTCTGGGGACGGCAGTCAGTGGCTTCAGGCCAAGGTTGGGTTTATCTATTCATCTCCCAGAAATCGCATCCATTCCCTCCATTCATTCATCCCTCACGTCTACTCAGTGCCGGGCCCACAGGTAGGTTCCTTGAAGGAATTCGACAGGCCTCGTTCTCTGGGAATTTAGTCTAGAATCTAGTCTAGAGACCTTTCCGTAGGTAATCAGGTTCAGGGTGGTTTAACAGACACCTTCAGAGGGCGAAGGAAGTAATCTGAGGATGTTAAGTGGACAGCAACACATCAAGGAAGATTTTACTGAGGCCTGTTCATTCCCACCGGGCCGCGTAGGTTGACGAGGAGTTTGCTGGTTGACAGGAAGGGAAGGAACATTTCAGGTAGGGGAAACAGCAGGGGATGCAAATTATGAAAGGGCCTGTCATGTTAGAGAAACAAATATAGCAAGAACATCTCAATATAGCAAGGAATTGGGGAGGTGAGTTCCTGGAAAGAAGGTCAAGACCAGAAAGCCTTGAATGTGATGATGAGGCCAGGATTCATCCTAAAGTTCAGTATTTCTCAGCCTTTTAAGATGTTTTATCTGTGGTTGAACATAAACATGACCTCTGAAAATTACAGATACACAGAAAACTTGAGCAAAACACTTCTGTAATTGTGTTAAGAAAGTTATGTTATATTTACTTATTAAAGTTATTAAGTTATATAACTTTGTATCAAAAGGTTAGTAATGCTTATTCAGATTCATCAGATCCTAGAAATTGGTGCATCAACAGGAAAGGTTTTAAAGAGGGAAGTGACCTAATTTGTTCTGTTTTAGGTAGAAGATAATCGTAAATGTCTTTCTTTCTTGTATCTAGAACACCATGAAGCAGCTGCCAGTCTTGGAGCCTGGAGACAAGCCCAGGAAAGCAACATGGTCTGTAAGGAAGGATTCAGACAGAGAAAAACATAAGTTTTTGTTTCATTTATAAGAAGTTTACTAACATATTTAAACATCTATGAAAAAGGGTAGAGATAAACCTTCTGCAGTTTCTGGTAATTAGACTCAAACTGTCTGAGAAAATCTTCAGAGGAAAGATAGTGGGGCAATAATTATCAGAGCAGATGTTGATTTTATTAAAATCCATTTACCAGGAAGACGAAGGCACTGACCATCTGGCATCCTCAGCTTCAACACTGTGCCTTCCCCCAAGCTGTGACTCATTTTTAAGATATTTAGGGAATTGGATTTGGATTAAACTGGCTTCACTGTTCCTTGGCTGTTTGCTCAATCAACCCTTCATTCAACAGCTAACACTGGCCTGACAGGGCAGCTGCTGTGTAGGTGCTGAACGTACAAAGGTGAAAGTCTCACTGTAGTGTGGGGTCTGCAGATGAAGCAGGTGATGGTAATGAAATGTGATCAGTGCTGAAGCAGGGACCACAGAAGGCTGTAGAGAGGGGCAGCGCTTCTGCAGGACCTTGGAAGAGAGTCCTCGATCTGGCTTTCCTGTGTCCACTCTTGCTCTCTGCACAACATAAATCTGATCATGCCACTCCCTAGTTTAAAACCCTTTTGTGCCTCCCCATTGGTCTTAGGATCAAAACCAGATTACTTAAAATGGCCCACTGGGCCTGCATGATCTGTCCAGGTACCTGTACCTAGATGACTCCCTCCATCTTTTGTGCCTCTCTTTGCCCAGCTAACTTGACTCACATGTCAGATTTCAGTTCAAATGGTGCTTCTTCAGGAAGCCTTCCCTGACTGTCCCCCTCTCCCATCTCTCCTTACAGGGTAAGGTGCCCCTATGATATGTAATAATACTCTATACCCTGTATTCCTTTATAGAGCAATAGAAATGAAACAGATATTTGTGAAATTATCTATTTAATATTTCTCAACTAGTCTGTAAGGGCTATGAAGGAAGGGACTTTTTTTTGTCTTACTCACCATGTATCTGGATGGCTATGTGCTCTTGGGTAAGTTATTTAACCTCTTTAAGCCTCTGGTCCTCAGTTGTAAAACTCAGATGATAATAGTACTGTCCTCAAAGGGGTTTTGTAAAGATGAAGTGAAATGGGTTGTAATGAAGTTAGCAGCATGCTTGGTACGTTCTTAGTAATTATTCAGGTGGTGATGGGATTTGTGAATCTGGACTTTAGAAAAGGGATCTGGAAAAGAAATAGAGATTTTGGGAATCACTGATGAATGTATAGATAGGTGGTAATTGAAGCCATCAGTACAGGTAAAATTGATCAGGTAAGCAAACAGACTGAGGAGGAGACAGTCCAGGGTATTCAGGGTTAGGAGAAGACTGGCAGGAAAGGAGTCAGAGGAGGAAACAGAGCATCTGGAAAAGTGGGTAGAGAACCGAAAAAGGAGGGGAGTGGGGCAGCAAGGTAAGGAGAAGGTACAAGAAGGAGGAAGGAGCCAGAGAGGTGAGATAAGACAGGGCCTCAAAAAATAGCTCAGAATTGTCTTTTCCAACCAGGAAGCTTGAAGTATGTTTTCTCAGTCATAATTCAGAGTAACTTTAGAGAGAGGAATGACTGGCTCCTGTATTTGACCTTTTAAAGTCCTAGCTTTGGCTTCCATTTGGCTTTAGGAGTAATCTGGAAAAGCTCTTGAAATCAGTTATCTCTGGCGAATTGTACTTGACAAGAAGCCACTGGCTAGTGGCAAGAGCGCTGGGGCTGTAGGTTCCTGTGTGGTTGCACATAAAGCTCTAGCCACCATTTACTGATTCCTTTCCTGCACTGTTACAAGACTTCATCTTCCTCTTCACAGGTAGGAACAATTGCTATCCTCATCTTACAAATTAGGAAACTTTGGTTCAGAAAGGTTAAGTGACTTCCAAAAGGTCACACATCTAGAAAGCACCTGAACTGGGACTTGAACTAGGTCTGTCTGGAATTTGTAAACTATCCTTAGAACTACCATCCTGTGCTTGGACACGCCACTGAACATTTCTGGGTGTCAGTTTATCTATCAGATGGGGACAATTACTACCCCAGTGCATCACCATTAGGTTAATGTCAGGTGAAAGTAATGACAAAAAATTGAAGAGTCAAAGGTTATGTGCAAGTGGAAATGCTGCTTTGCTGGACACAATTTAAAGTGCCTGTGTCTATATAAGACCCTCCATTCTTATGAATATTTCATGAGGAGTAGGAAGAACACACTGCTGCATTTATTCTCTGCTCAGGCCTCCTGAATACATCCTTGCTTTGGCAGGTACACCTTGACCCCTCCTGGAGACAGCCCATGTGCTCGGGTTGGCCACAGCTGCTCATATTTACCCCCAGTTGGTGATGCCAAAAGAGGGAAGGTCTTCATTGTTGGGGGAGCAGATCCAAACAGGAGCTTCTCAGATGTGCACACCATGGATCTGGGTAAGACCAGCAGCAGCAGAGCACATGCCCATAGCCAGAGAGCAGGCCTTTGTGCTGCTGGCCATGAGCATTCCTAGGAATGACAGTTTGGACCAGACAGCAGGGTTTTCCTCTAAGAAAATGAACATCACTGAGGGGTCCCGAAGGTCTCAGCAGACCCCTGGAACACGCCCAACCAACCAATACATTGTGTTTTGTCTTTTGGGGGAAAGAGTCCGTATGGAGCCCTGGGCATCCAGCCATTCATTTATCAACTATTTCTCTGGGAGACATTGATGACTCCACCACTCCTCTTCCATCCACATATCCAATTAACCACCAAGTCCTACATACTTCTCTCTTCATCCATGGCTGCCCATTTCCCCTACTATTGTAGTCCAAGAATTGTTATCTGAACTAGGTATTGCAACAGCCTCCTCTCTGGTCTCCCTGCTTCCAAGTTTACCCCTCCATAGTGCATTTTCCATACCTAGCCAGAGAGTATTGTCTAAAATACAAATCTGACTGTGTCACTCCTGCATTTCAAGCCTTTCCCAACTTTATTTCTTGGCTCTTCCAAATCCCCATTTGCTACACTGAGTATCCTTCAGAAACTTGAACACGTATTGAATTCTGGTCTCCAACCCTCTAATCATAGAGTTGGTTTCCTTGGCAACCAACCTCATCCTTAGAGGCTTTCATAAAGTCACCCTGCCGCCTGGCACGGCTCAGCGGTTGAGCATTGACCTATAATCCAGGAGATTGCGGTTCAATTCCTGGTTAGGGCACTTGCCCGGGTTGTGGGCTCGACCCCCAGTCGGGGACATGCAAGAGGCAGCCAGTTAATGACTCTCTCATCATTGATGTTTCTATCTCTCTCTCTCTCTCCGTCTACCTTCCTCTCTCTGAAATCAATAAAGACATGTTTAAAAAAATAATAATAAAAAAATTAAGTCACCTCACCAACATAAACTCAGGTGTGACTGACCGAGGCTTGTTACATAAGACACCTTTACCAATCTTACCGCTTAGGGAATTCCAAGGGTTTTAGGAGCTCTGTGCCTGGAACTGATGAAGGTCAAATATATACTTTTAAATATAAATAGCAATGTCACACCACTCTCTATATTTTCATAGTATTTTGTACTTTCCCATCCTTATCTCCCATCATAGACCTTACCTCATGTGTTTGTTTCTCATCTGTCTTCCCCACAAGGGTATAAGCTCCTTGGAAACAGGAAACATGGTTATGTTATTGTATCCCCAGCCACTAATAATAGCACCTGGCACAGAGTAGGGGCTTTATAAGTATTTGAATAGATGGATGGATGAATAAATTAGCAGATACTACTACTATGTACTATACACAATGGCAGAGGAAAACTGGTGATTCGTCTACATGTTTTGCTGGGTGCATGTAACACTGCTGTTATTGTTTTAATCTGAGTTGTTTACCAACCAAATGTGCAGAAGTCTATATGTAAAAATTGAAACTGTTTGCCTTCTCGATAATTTTGGAAGATCTGGCATGACAACAATTATTTGGGGCTGAGCTAACACCTATCAGTGGGGCTCTCAGACTCCAATTTGCCACATTCCCTCCACTCCTGTGTAGGCATTTGAATTTCTACACCCTGCACCAGGCTCTCTCTGCCTCTCCACACATGGTAGAAGGTGGCCACCCAAGTCCGGGAATTTGTTTGCATTCTAGACTCTTGGGAGGAAGGATCTCATTGGCCCATTTGGGGTTAAGTGACCCAATAAGCTAAGGCTGGAAAGTCAAGGTGTTATAGTACAAACAGGTTCTCAGTTCTATTCCTGTGGTTGGGGAAATGGGGACAGTTTTCATAGAAGAGGGTTTGTGGACAGTCCCTGAAGTATCTAATACAGAACTTTTTGAAGTTTGACCACACTCCCTTTAAGTGATCTGATGGTTGTTCACTTATGCTTTTGACCACCTTCCCCTTACTACCATCCCCCAAATTTGCCAAGCAATCTAATTAGTTGGCAGCCCAACTTAGAAACTGGGTGAAATGTTTTCTAGGAACACACCAGTGGGATTTAGCCACCTCAGAGGGCCTCCTGCCCCGGTACGAGCATGCCAGCTTCATTCCCTCTTGCACACCTCACAGCATCTGGGTGTTTGGAGGTGCCAACCAGTCAGGAAATCGAAATTGCCTACAAGTTCTGAATCCTGGTAAGTAGCCAAAGGTTATTTCATTTACCTAAATAAATAAAATTCCACTTTCATTTCCTGTAGCAAAACGCATTTGGATTGTAATAATTATCCATTGAACTTTGCTGACTGCATAGAGAACAGGAGTTTTAACCTCTAGCGGAATCTGAATATAACACAACTGCATTTTGTTTTCCTGGTAACATATACAATTATCAGCTTCTTAAAAGCCAAAGCTGGAAGAGATTTCAGAGAATAGCTATGCCAAGTGGGCGACCCAGGTCCAGGGGAAGTGGCTTTCCTAAAGTCTCTAAGGAGTTGGTGACTGAGCCAGGCTGGAACCTGTCACCTAGTTCAGGATGGCGATTGTGCTCCCCAGGGGACATGTGGCCATATCTGGAAACATTTTTGGTTATTCCAACTTGGGGAGACCAGAGATGCTGCTATGTATCCCATAACGCACAGGGCAGTCCCCCCTCCCCCAAAATCAAATTATCTTGTCCAAAATGCCAATAGTGCCTGACCTAGATCCTCCTCGTATATTTCTGTTAGCCAAAAAGTACAAAGATCCTAGCTAGTGTCACTGGCAGTTTTATCACAGAGGAAGCAGTTTAGGAAAATCACTATTGAGCAGATGTTGCTGGACCACCAGTGGGAGGTGGACTTGTCTTTTTGTCAGTTAAAAGATTGTTTTCTCTTTATAAATATAATTTATATTCATTATAAAATACTTGAACAGTGTAAATGAGTGGATAAAAGCCATCCACAATCCTATGACATTTCTGTGTATTTCCTTTCTGTCTTGTCTCTGCATTTTTATAAGCCTGAGGTCATACTATTTCACCACTACACTACTGTACCTTTTTCCCTGTAATTTCATAATTACTGCATAAATGATGTCTCATTAACAACAGTGCTTTGTTAACATCAGTTGTAATGGCTGTATAACACTCCCTTTTATGACACTACGATAATTCTCCTATTTCTTAACATTTAGGTTGTTTACAGGTTCTTGCCATTATAAATAACAAAGCAGTGAACCTCTTTGTTCAGAAGACATTGACTGTATTTCAAATTATTGTCTTAGAATTTATGCCCAGAAAAAAACACACAACTAAGCAAAACACTGTGAACTTTAAGGCTTTTGAAACCTGCTACCCATTTGCTCTCCAGAAAGATTTTTTCAGCTTATCTCCAGCTGTGTGTTAATAGGGCTTGTTTCACTCCTGACTGACATTGAATTTCTCATTTTCAAACACTGCTAATTTGGTTAGGCAAAACAACTTGTATATGATTGTTTAAGTATTCATTTTGTTAATTACTAGTAGGACATTTTTTCACCTGACAATCAGCTGTTGCCCAGTTCCCTTTATCAACAGATTTATTTGCACAATAGTTGGTCTTCTCTGTCACTTTGGGATATTAATAGTTCCTACCTTGTTGAGTTTGGCAAGGATTTAAGTTAACTCAATATCTGGCACAAGGTTAATGCTCAGTAATGGTGGTTGTGGTTGATGTAGCTATAGTTTGGCAGATGGAAATACGTCTGGAACCCTGGCCTTTTGATCTTCATTGATGGCAGTTATTTAAATAAAATACACTGAGAATTTGGAAAGCCTCTGTCAAAGGAATTGATTTTCCACCAGATCCTTTTTCTCTCCTAGAAAGTATAATTTGACACCGTGCCCAAGAAATGTGAAAAATGAAAGTGAATCATTAGTTGCTTTTGTTGCTAAGGCGAGTGTGTCATCTGGCTTAGGACTACTTTGTGGTTATTTGTGCTGCCATCTGACTTGGCAGCAACACAATCCCAGGATCTTCTGATGCTGGAGGTTGTGGGCCTTCTAACTCCCCCTGAGATCCAAAAGCTCCCCAAGCTCTGCAGCTGTAGAGACAATTTCACTTGGCTTTGGATATAGGCTGAGACTTGTTTGGTTTCCAGGTTCATGTCTGAGCCCCACATATATTACAGATGCTTCATGGGTCACTATATATACTGAATGAAGACTTTTGCAAAAGGCACAGAATTGGCCAGGCAAGAAATAATTCCTGGGTGTTATGGTAGAGCGAGTGTGGGAATCTTGACAGATCTGAGTTCGAACACTTACTCTGCTACTCACATGCACTGTGACCAGGGGAAAGGATTTAAGTTTTCTGAACTTTAGTTCTCTCATCTACAAAATAGAGATACTTTCTGCCACCTTCCAGGGTTGAGTGAGGATAGTGGCAATGACAGAGTGCTCAGGGCAATGATTCTGCACAAGGAAGGTGCTCAATTAATGCATTTGTTTCTATAAAATTCATGCTTCATTCTAAGAAGAAATAAACAACTTCTATTCACTTACCCAGGTGATAAAAATTTTATTCTCAAGTCAGAAGAGTGGAAAATACTTAGATCTTGGTGTTATCGAAACAGAATTTGAATCCCAACTCAACCATCTATTAGCCGTGTCACCTTAAATGAGTGACTTCATCTATCTCTGCTTAATTCCCTTATCTGTAAAATGGAAAACTAATACTTATTTAGCACTTACTGTTTATTAAGGACTAATTACTGCCACTGAAACCGTAAGAACACTGTCTACTTTCTTTTAATGGCCACATATCCTAGGAAATTTGGCACATTTGGTTTCTAGCATCTAGTGGGAATGACTTTTAGCAGATGTTGGGCTCCTCTGAATGGCATGGGACAGGAGTCAGCAGAGCGGAAGAGGGTTCAGAGAGGATGTTTCAAGGCCTCCAAAAACAAATCAACCCCATTCTTAATTGCACTTGTCACTTTTCAGTCTTGAGGATCTGGGTCTGTCGGAGCAAATTCTAAGAATCACCCCTTACCCATCCTTGACTTTGGTGGCATGAGATCACTGCCTTGACCTATGCTGTCCCCCTTGGGGATTGGGTTTTTAGAGGTGACCCTGCCCAGCCCCAGAGTCAAGGTCAGAGGCCTCTCAGTCTGGGTATTTAGGTGCCTCCCTTCTCTCTGGACCAGAAACCAGGACTTGGACCACGCCAGAGGTGACCACCCCTGCACCATCCCCAAGAACATTCCACACATCGTCAGCAGCCATTGGAAACCAGCTGTATGTCTTTGGGGGCGGAGAGAGAGGTGCCCAGCCTGTGCAGGATGTGAAGCTTCATGTTTTTGACGCAAGTATGGATGGGTGGAGACCTCGGGGCTGACACTTACCTCTTCCACAGCTTACCTGATATAGGAAGCAGAGGTTCGAAAATGACATCCTGGCTGAGAGTCTCACTTCTAGACTTCTTAGCTGATTTCTTCTTCCCACAGCAAAATTTGTATTTAAAAAGGTATAAAGTGGTCGTTTAAAAAAAATTGAACAGTATAGTTTATAATGTAAACACATAAAAGTTCCTCCTTTAGCCTTTCCCACTCCCCAGACAGAGGTAAATGCTGTTGGCAGTTCCTAATTTTTCCTTCCAGACTTTCCTATGCAGTTATAACTCATACATATAAGTGTATATGAACATGTGTGAATTTTCAGATTGTTAAAAACTTAAATACACACACATGGAATCAAATTATAAATACTGTTCTGCAGCTTACTTTTCCAGGGGCAAGGGTAGATCTTAGGGCTTGAAAGCATGAACTTTGAAGCCACATGTCCTGGACTCAACCACATCTGATATATACTTTCTGTATTACTTTTACCCTACTTACTTAATCTCTCTAGGCCTTAGTTTACTGATCTGTAAACAGAGGTAGTAACAGTGCCTACTTATGGATATTGTCTTAGAAAAAGAACACTCAGAAAGTGTGCCTCAGAAGAAGCAGACTCATTCTAAGTGGAAGTGGAAGCTTAAGGCAAGTCTTTTTTATTGAAAGCAAGGAATGATTTCCTAATGCCCAGTAGAAAGGGCAGGCATGTTAGGTAGTGAACTCTCCAGCCCTGGAAGTGTCCAAGCAGAGGCTGTACAGGCTGTGGACAGAGGGCGGCCTGGATTGGGTTGGTGAGTTGGAGTGAATGACTTTAAGATCACTTTCTGTTTGGAGCATCTCTGCTTGCTGGGTGTATTTCTAGTGTTCTTGCTTCATAGCTTTGTCATCTAATATCAGTGAACTTACTTTTCTAGACACTCTGACCTGGTCACAGCCAGAAACACTTGGAAAACCTCCATCCCCCCGGCATGGTCATGTGATGGTGGCAGCAGGAACGAAACTCTTCATCCATGGAGGCTTGTCAGGGGACAAATTCTATGATGATCTTCATTGCATTGATATCAGTAAGTAGGGTGGAGGGCATGGGAGCTTGTCTGCTTAAAATTAAATAAAATGTGCTTTGATAGAATATAGCCTTAATCTTAGATGTGGGTAGCTTGATCAGCCAGCAGAATCTTCACTAGATTCTGTCAAGTGCGGCTTGAATACTGCTACTAATAAATAATAACAATAAAAGCAATAATTTGCTGAGCTTTTGCTATGTACCTAGCTATTCATTATCTCTTATCCTTCCAACAACCCTGCGTTTCATTAAAATTCATTACACTTTGTGTTCCTCAACTAGATTTCTTTCAGGCATTAGCCATTAACCCCATGTCAATGAGAGGCATGGACAACTTCTAGAGTGTGTCTGGAGGCAGGTTACCAGAACTGTCATGCTAAATAGTTAAAAACACTGGGAAAAATTAGGGAGAACATGAGAATTGTCTTAAAGTGTCCGAAGGGTGACATGCTCTAGAGAGCCTGGACTCATCCTGGGTCATTCTTTCAGACTGAGCTCCTTAGAATAGGGACTTTGTCTCTTTTGTTCCCTATTATATTTCTAGCACTTAGCCCAGTGTCCGGTAGATCGTGGGTAATGAGTGCATATCTATTAATGGGTAGATGGACAAACAAATGAACATGTTCTGAGTTGGTCCAAACTACAAGAATTGGAACAGTGGGCAGAAGGCATGAGAACTGCTGTGCAGTATATCCAGCTACCTTGCCAAACAATAGGTTCTCTGGTTTGCTGACATCTGAGGCCAGGTGACACTGGCTGGGATTCCTGCACTGACTAGAATTTTGGCAGGCCTGGATGATTCTTCCTTCCAACTCTGGACCCCTGCCTTGAATTGACAGATGGAAAATATCTTCACAGAAGTGTTTCTTGCAGGCAGTCAAAAGAGGTTTGGATGCTTATTTTTATTATTTTTTAAAACATGTTTATTGATTTCAGAGAGGGGGAGAAAGAGATAGAAACATCAATGGTGAGAGTCATTGATCGTTTGCCTCCTGCGCATCTCCCACTGGGGGTGGAGCCCGCAACCTGGGCATGTGCCCTGACTGGGAATACGAACAGTGACCTCCTGGTTCATAGGTTGACGCTCAACCGCTGAGCCACGCTGACCAGGCCAGATGCTTACTTTTAAAAAGAAAGTCCTCTTCACCCTGGCTGGTTTTGCTCAGTGGTTAGAGCATCAGCCTGCAGACTGAAGGATCCCAGGTTCATTTCCGGCCAAGGGCATGTACCTCGGTTGCAGGCTTGATCCCTGGCCCCGGTCAGGACATGTGCAGGAGGCATCCAATCAATGCCTTTCTCTCACATCGATGATTCTCTCTCTCTCTCCCCTCCCCCCTTCCACTCTCTCTGAAAAGCAGTGGAAAAAATATCCTCTGGTGAGGATTTTTAAAAAAGTCGTTCTCTCTTGTGCTGAGGAACTACTTCCTGGCTCTTTTTCCTACTTTCCCATCCAGGTAGGTCTCTAAACCTAAAATCCAATGCTATCCAACCTCATTTAAATGCTTGTTTGAAAAGATGCAAATATCCCTGCAGAAATAGGTTGGGAGTAGGTGCTGAGGCAGCAAATTACAGTATAGAGGACACAGGTTTTGGAGTCTGACCTGAGGACAATTCTAGCTCTGCCGCTTGCTAGCTGTGGGATCTCGGACAAGTCTCTTTCCCTCTCTAATCCTGTTTCATTATCTGTAAGGAGAGTAGGCAGAAGCAATGGCAATTTTATAGGGCTGTTGTGAGAAGTAAGCGAGATTTTTAAAGTCTAGCTAGCACTTGCAAAGTTGCTTTCTAAGGAAGGAAATGTTAGTATTTAAAACATGCCCACACGTGCAGGCACAGTGAATCTCACCTATGTCTGGACTCCAAAATAGCTATTGGTGACAGCCACCAAAGGTACTATCACATCCTCAGTGTGCTCTGAAGACCACCTACACCAGAGTCACCCGGGATGCTCATTAGAACTGTAGCTTGCTCCCTCTCCCTGGCTGACCCAGACAGGGTTTCAGGCTCCCCCAGGTCATTTGTGCGCACACTGACCTTGCTGTCTTACCCGCTTTCTCTCTTGGCAGGTGACATGAAGTGGCAAAAGCTGAGCCCCACGGGGGCAGCCCCAACAGGCTGTGCTGCCCACTCGGCTGTGGCTGTGGGGAAACACCTGTATGTCTTTGGGGGGATGACTCCCTCAGGAGCACTAGACACAATGTACCAATATCACACTGGTGAGCAGGTGTTCCCTGGGGGTCTTTATAAAATCTTTTACTTACTGATTAAGTTTTTAGAGAGAGGAAGGGGGAGAGACAGAGAGGGAAACATCAATTTCTTGTTCCACTTATTCATTCATTCATTGGTTGATTCTTATGTGACCTGACTGGAAATCGAACCCAAGACCTTGGCGTATGCTGACGATGTCCTAATCAACTGAACTACCCAACCAGGGCCCTGCGGGTCTTTATAAACAAATATGACTATTTTTTGAAAAGTTCCACAGTGCTTTGGTTTCTCGGTTTGGTCCCTCCACATCTAAATCCAAGGGAATGGAAACCAAACCTGTAGGGAATGACATCTAAGCAGTAACACTGCCATTAGTTTTTGTTGTTCGTTTCCTATTTCTTTTAGGGCTCAGGTGATACAGCAAATTGCTTATCATTTCTGGAAATTTCCTAACACAGAGCCTTTGTTTTTTTCCCCCCTGACATAGAGAAGCAGCACTGGACCTTACTTAACTTTGATACTTTTCTACCCCCTGGACGACTGGACCATTCCATGTGTATCATTCCATGGCCAGTGATGCGAGCTTCTGAGGAAGATCCAAATCCTGTCACTCTGAACTGTGATGCTGAGAAAGGGGACTCCTCTGACAAAGGAGTGGCCCAAAGTGGTGACTCACGTGAGGAAAGTCAGACTGACTCACTGCTCTGTTTTGTGTTTGGCGGGATGAATACTGAAGGGGAAATCTATGATGATTGCATTGTGACTGTAGTTGACTAATAAAACCTGTTTTTGTTACTTTTAACTGTCAATTGCTTTCAGAAAAGTGAAACCTTAGCTGTTTTATACCTCCAAAATATTCTCTGCACTATATAACCCTCTTGCTCTTATCTACTTTGGTGAGGACATGAACTGGATAGCCCAGTGCAAAAACCTCGATTATATAAAGGGTTTTACCAGCAATACAATCTGGGTGAGATTGGTTGCTAAAGAAACTAATCACAAAAATGTTAAAGAATCATGATTGTTAGATACAACATAAGCTGTATAAATCAGGAGTTGACATTTACAGGTTCGAGCGTTTTTTTAATATTCAGTAGCTTCTCCTCAGAAAGGTGCAGGCTATTGGCTTTTGGTAGGGAGAGCCATTGGGGTCAGGGACACAGCACTGCAGTGGTTAATGTGTCTTCAACTTGGCCTGAAGACCAGGTATTACTCCAGGCCTGTCCAAATGCTGCTGGGCACTGCAGCCAAGGTCCCGGCCTCAGAGTAACACAGTCATGCTATCAGGTCCCAGTTCTGCCAGTTGGCAAATTAACCTTTCAGCTGATTGCCCATCTAAAAAAGTTATCCTTCGGTCTTACTGGATTTCATGTTAGTACCAGATAGCCTGCCCTGTACTGATCATCCTTATTCACCTAGACCAGGGTGGGGAATGTCCAGCCTGCCAGTCCCATACGGCCTGCAAAAGCAACCACAGGCAGGACTCAAAATTCCATGAATCTAGGAGCTTTTTTCATAGCAACATAAATTTATATTAAGTGTATCATAATAACGTAAATTTTGAGGGATAAGCAAGGCCCTTGGCAGAAAAAAGGTTTCCCATGCCTGCCCTAAACCATCCCTTTCCTCAGGAAGCCAGTCCAAGTAATCTTGAAACTGTTATGACACAAATGACTGCTTTTGATCCACAATTGTACTGGAGCTCAAAATAGTTTTAAGGTCACCATCTTAGATCCCACTTGGTATCGAGAAATTTCACAGATGGGGATTCTGACAGGTTCAAAATACACCTTTACACCCTAAAACAATGAATCCAATGCAAGCGTGTAAAGTTAGTATCAGTGATCCATCTCTCTATTAAGTCTTAAAATACAAGAAGCCATAAAGCATCAATAAAAAGCCGCCCGGCCAGTGTGGCTCAGTGGTTGAGCCTTGACCTATGATCTAGATGATGGTTCGATTCCCGGGTCAGGGCACCCCCAGTGGGGGGGGG